CCGGGCAAAGACATTGTTGATATCGCCTTTAAAGAACCTGCAGTACGACAACAGGTTAGTTTTCTATTTTATGCATTACATGATGACATTGTAACTCTATTGATGACGTTCATCACTAGTGAGAATGGACTTTACAGGTAAGATCAAACCCGTATTGCTACAAAGGTCGTCTTCGCTTGAAAACAGGCAATGAATTACTCAGGGTCAGCATTGACATAGAAAAAAGACTCAATGAGGTATTCAATTTTGTTGCATACTTCATCTCAATTGGTCATGAATGAGAAGGATATTATTGAATTTATATATTCCTGACCTTTAAAATACATACTTTAGGTTTCTCTGCCGTTTATAGTTCTCCACGGTGGAGATGACAAAGTGACCGACAAAAATGTCAGTGAACAACTCTACAATGTGGCTTCAAGCACAGACAAGACCTTCAAGCTGTATCCTGGGATGTGGCATGCCCTGCTCCACGGAGAGCCGTCCAGCAACATTGAGATTGTGTTTTCAGACATCATTGGATGGCTAGAGGAGAGAGTTTCCCTCGGAAATTCGAGGCTGGAGAGAGAACAGAAGCAGCAAAACGATGATTCAAACTTGAAGATGAAAGAGAAGGAAGAACAGAAGCAGCAAAACGATGATTCGAACTTGAAGATGAAAGAGAAGGAAGAACAGACCATAAGTTAATTAGGCAGTCAGGAAGTTAAGAAATTGGAATTTTGTATTTAAAATTCGTTTTTATGTAGGAATTCAATTGTTTATCTAATATTTTCCAAACAATCAACATAAAATTCGTAGGAATCCGTTAAAGCACTTTTTTATATACGTATATCTAATATTTTCCAAATAAAAATAATTGTTTATTATTATTTTTGATATTTTAATTGAGAGGATGTTTTCCACCACTTCTATAATTTACCGAGCAGAACCACTCCATCTGCGTCACACCTAAACCCTCCGACTCCATTGTGCTATTTATAATGAAGACGTTCTGGTTCCCAAAAACAGAAGCTCAAGCATATCCATCAAAATGTCTCAGGGCCACTTCCTACTCAGCACATTTCTGTTGCTCTTTCTGTACTTTGCAATCATCAACCATTCCTCTTCTGCTAGATTCCTGGGAAATGCATCTCCAAGCCACAACCACAATCACCACAAAATCACATTCCTAATGAAAGATGTGCTTGATGCTACTACGCAACCACCACCAAGGCCTGCAACCACTAAAGTCACTGATCAGATTCCATTCTCAAAACCATTAGGCGTTCTCCCTCCTAGTAGAGGAATCCCAATTCCTGATTCCAACCCATCTCTTCAGGCCACCGGCTTCTCCTCGCAAACCCTTGATGTCTCCAACATTGGATTGTACTTTCCTGCCAGAGCCGCTCTTCAAGAACTGGAATCAGGGGCAGTGATTGTAATAGATGAGAACCTGTTTGATGTGGGATCAGGGTCATCAAGTGCAGCAGTGGGAAGAGCACAGGGGGTTTATGTTGCAAACTCAGAAGATGGGCGTAGTCATATGATGGCAATGACAGCATATTTTCCTGGTACCGGTTTTAAGGATGGACTGAGGTTTTTTGGAGTGCATAGGAAGGATGTAAATGAGTCTCATGTTGCTGTAATTGGTGGGAATGGGAAGTTTGTTGGTGCCAATGGATATGCAACTGTAAAGGCTGTAAATTTGGGGTCCAACAGTCTCCTTTTGTTCAATGTTTATCTCAGTTAAACAGGACTAATCATTCTTGTTTACCTACTAATGTATAAATCATATAGGCATAGGGCCAGTGTCCTTGGAGAATTATCTGAATGAATTTCACGAATTTGGTTTGCAACTTTTTCTTTTTGGGGACCAATTTAGTTCGTTCGTTTATACTGGCATTTCCTTCTTAAATTCCTCAAAACCTTTAAAATTTGATAGACTTCGTAAAAATATATCAAAGAACTCGAATCCAACATAGCAAAAGCAAATCAGAAAGGACACAAAAGATTGACTAAATTTTCTTCACATTGATTTTGAAACTTTGATTTCATTGTCAATCAAGGAGAATGAATAAATGCAGAATGAATTTTCCTTAGCAAGTAAAACGTGTTTTGATCTTGTTTTAGGCTAGACTTCATTCTTTGGTTCTTCGAGACCCCCTTAAAAACAAAAGTGCAACTAAATTGATTAACAGGCCAGTTGAATCTTGTTTGCTGTTTTTAGGCAAAATGGTTGCAGTTCCAGTGGATTAGTCATGCCAAGGGTCCAAATAGCCGGGGCTATTAAAAGAATAATTAACCTCTACTTGAAATATCCAAGGAATCCAATTTGGTCAATTTGGCATGCTCTTTTCTACTTTATAAAAAACCTCAGTCATCTTTTCTGTTGGGTTTGAATTTAAAACTTCTCAAGGTTAAACTCTTCTTTGCCAGTGGACCAAATTCCGGTGAGCTAATCGGAGGTCAGTCTTGGCTCTTAATGGTGAGGTTTTTGGTGCCATTTTTTGTCATAAAATATAGCATTTGATGGCATTTTCTTACTCTACAGTCAACAACTTCACATATCTCTTTCATGTCATCATATGTGAATTAGGTTTGATCATTTTCAACCAAAACACACCCCAAAGAAAGCCATGGAACTACTCCACATTATCAGCTCCACTTCTCTTAACATCCTCTTCAAAACTATAAATATGCACCATTGACAGCCTTGTTCTCCATCAAAACATTCTCTCTAGCATCTCTACTCTCTGCTTTACTCAAAACCATCCTGAGAATCCCAAAAAAATGGCCAAACCAATCAAGGTCATCATCTGCCTCTTCTTCCTAGCTGCCATCTTCTCACGGGCCAACTCAGCTAGAGTCCTTGATGAGGTGGCTGCTCAGACACAGTTCCAGTCATCCAATCCAGCCGCTACAGCACTGCCAAGTGGCCAATTCCCAGCAGTGGGCCCCACTGCCGCAGAGAATCATGAAGCTGAAGCTCCTGCAGACGTGGCAGCCCCAGATGATGACGTGGCCACCCCTGCAGCAATTGTGGCTGCCCCTGCTGCAACCGCCGCAAGTGCCACGGTGGCTCATGAACCCACGCTGTCCTTTTTCATGCATGACATCTTGGGTGGGTCCCACCCGTCAGTCAGGGTGGTCACCGGAATCGTTGCCAACTCAGAAGTCAGCCCAATCCCTTTCTCCAAGCCCAACGACAACCTCTTTCCAATCCAAGGCGGCACCCCACTGCTCACCGGAAACGTCAACAACATTAAAGCCATAAACAACCTCATCAACAACCCCAACAACGTGCCTTTCCTCGCCGGCCTCACCGGCTCCCAAACCAGCACCATAATCCCCAACACCGGCAACAACAACAACGTTCTCAACAACCAGAACCAGCCCTTCGTCACTGCCGGCCAGCTCCCTACCGGCTCACTCCAGCGCCTAATGTTTGGGACCATCACCGTTATCGACGACGAATTGACAGAAGGACACGAATTGGGGTCAGCGGTGATAGGCAGAGCACAGGGGTTTTACTTGGCTAGCTCTATCGACGGTACCAGTCAGACCATTGCGTTGACTGTCCTGTTGCACGGTGGTGAACACAACAATCATGAAATTGAGGATACCATCAGTTTCTTCGGGGTTCACAGGACGGCAACGCCGGAATCACAGGTTGCGGTGGTGGGTGGGACTGGGAAGTACGAGAATGCTAGAGGGTATGCTACGGTTGGGACAATTCACCATGAGGATCAGCACATGACAGACGGCGTGGATACCATTCTCAACTTCGACGTTTTCCTTACTGATTACTGAATGATGTGGAACATTTTGTGCTTCATTCTTGAATCTTGAATATGTTTCAGCAATTTGGGTGTGAATTTGGTCATGACTCCTGTATTTCAATGTTCAAACTCAATGAAAACTCTGTTTCTGAAATTGAAAAAGAAAATGACAAAGAACATAACTGGGGCATTCCGAGAATTGAACTCGGGACCTCTCGCACCCTAAGCGAGAATCATACCACTAGACCAAATGCCCTGGAGTGACGATAAGTTATGATAAACTACCTAATAATGTAAGAAATGCAAGTGGATTGTTCACATTCCAACACAGAGCTGCAACTGCCGGCTGGAGATTTGGTTATGGTTCTTGATTCATAACATTTAATCAATCAAGAAAATCAGCCCACTGGGAGATCCCTGAGAAAACCCTCTTTTTTTTTTTCCCACTTATGTTGCTACTGATCCAAATTCTAATCAAAGCAGAGGCACCTGGTTGTGGATTTGGAAGTTGGTTTGTCCCAAGAAGTTTAACAATCCTGTTTGCCTTGCGTCTCATGATTGCTTCCTCACGGTCCGATCACCTACACTGGAGGCCTTCAATTGCTGTTAACACAGCACCATGCCCTCATTCTGGTTCTATTGATGAAACTTCATTACAACTCTTGAGAGACTGCAGCGAGGCCGAGGCTGTCTGCTGATGCACCATATTGTTCTTGTAATCATACCTTAAACCTTCTTCTAGTATTCCAGGGGGATTGCTTTGAATGTGAGTAGGAAGGAACCTGTTTGAGTTAATTTCTTTGTATTTGTTTCAGTTTTTTTAGCTCTTTTTATGTTGTGTATCTTTAAGACCAAAAATGAAAAAATGCAGACACCTTTGAATTACAGACCAGCATGAATGGTAATACAACCATGTGAACCCTCACCCAACATGGTAGAAACCTGACTATACAAATCTTTTTTTTTTTTTCCTATCTATACCTATCCCACTCTCTTGCTCCTGTGAATGCACACAAACATATAGATGCAAAACAAAACTATATCTCCCTCTCACTCATTACTTACATGCCCAAATCAGTGAGACGAGGAAAATGGAGAAAAAAATGAAACAATACAATCATTCAAAACTCTCCTGGCTAACAACCTCTGCTGCCAGTTCATCAATCAAAGAATCCCCTATTTCTCTACTAATTAACTCGATATCGTTTCTCAGTACTAGCCAGCCATCATCATTTCCCAGCAGTTTCTGAGACTCCTTACTGGCTTCCTTTTCCTGGTTAACCAGCAATATCCATAGCTCTTCCTCAATCTCTCCCAAGCTCTGCCTAAAGCTAACCAGTGGTTTAGCCTGCATGGGTACACCTAGGCATGTGTGGAGAATTTCTGTCAAGCCTGAGTTTATAAGGTCGAACAATAGCCTTCTTTCTGACCGGTTCCAAGATGTCTGCTCACCATACTTCTTTTCTAGTATTTCAAAGACTGTAGGGCTTATTGGACATTCTGCAGAATGCCATCCTTCAAAAGTCATATGGTTCCTACTGCAAAAACCTGCCTCGGTCAAGACATCAACCATATAGGAGAAATCCCTACTTTCTTCAACACTGCACGACCTCATTGGATCTCCATTTTCTTTAAAGCCCCTTAATGATTCTTCTTCTGAATCATCATCGCTTGATACAATCAATCCAGGTCCTGACTCTGCTTCCAAAGATTTTGATTTCAGAATTTCAAGCTGCAGCCTCACACCTAATTAAAAAAAAATGTAAAAGAAGTTAGCCTGGTAAAATGGGGGGAAAAAAAATCATTACAACAAACCAGTCCTGGATCACTAACCATGTAAACCAGCATCAATGCCCTTATAGAATTCAGAACCAGATGATATTTCATCATCCAATGTCTCCAGAACTGAAACTGGACTGGGCTGATAAGCTGCCTCTGAGTTCACAAGAGAATCATGGTCTGTGCTAGAGTAATGTGAAGAAATAGAACCCTCTTCAAGGAATTCAATTGATTCATCCTCCTGAATGTTATGATGAAAATAAAAGAGAAATTAAAAAAGAACCTGAAACTCTTCAACCAAGGACTGGACGCATTTAAGAAATTAGTAAACCAACTATTTTAGAAGTTAAACAATATCCACATGTATTACACCTAGAGAAGCCTTTTTCTTCTACCTACTGAACCATGGTTCTATTCCCCCTCTCCAAAACTCCGTTGGATAAATTATTCTGTCTTTTTCAAAAGAAAAGGAAGAACACTAGGAGGTAAGCACCATACCTGTTGACTTGAAGTTTCTGGGATATAAGTAGAACCATTATCATCCTTCACCACAAATATGCAGTCTACTGATTCCAAATGCTGCTTGTTATGATTTCCCAAAGATTTGGTGACAACCATGTTTTCTGCATCAGCCAGCACATCAGAAGCGGTACTTCCAGAGGCATTATTACTTACTGACAACTTAGATACCGTGAAATTCTGCCCAAAGAGATCTCCATTATTGGTATTGTTCTTTTGATCCTTCAGCATCAACCAAGCTTCTTGTGTGGCATGGTTAGAAGAGGGAACGTTATGCCTTGATAACTTAGAAACCACTGGATTTTGTCCTGATGGGTTGTTCTCCTCAATGCTGTCCTTCACCTTATTCTGCACGGCAGATTTGCCATCAATCAAGTGCTTATTAACTGACTCCAAATAAGGAATACCTTGAGACTCTATGAAGCTGAAACCTGAGTCTCTAGTTTTTGAGCCATCTTTTGCACTGAAAGTTTGCTTTCTTGATTTTGGACTTTCCCAATTAATGGCAAACCTTGATGTCCTGGTCATGTGCTGATTATCATGAAAAGTTTTGTGACTGGTTCTGGTTTTTAGACTTCTAATTGTTGATGTGAAAATTGATCTGGACGTTGGTAAGCCTCTTGCAGACTTGTTTTTCCATACGTCCTTGCTGCTGATGCCTAAAGGACTACGCAAGTTCATATACTTATCATTAGAGCAGATTCTGTTGCCTAATCTCTGCTCACCCAGCCTGTCATCAAAAGATTCTGGCTTAGATTTGTAGTCTGACATCGCAAGCATCACCCCAAGAGTTCTGCTTCTGCCCCTACCACCACTATGAAGTACATTTTGAGACTCTACTGAGATTTGCTTCTTTGCTTCCCCAGCCATATATGACCTGCCTGAATAACAAATTGAGGGCCTGTAGCAGCTCTTCACATCAGAGAAATTTTTGGAAGAAAACATCATCATATCTGGCTCTTTTGCATGATTCTCAACACCTTCAAATCCTGACACTGGATGCACCAAAGAAAAGCTGTTTATCTCATTACTATGTAACCCTTTGCGCTTCCTACCAAAAAATTGAGAATTGTCTAAAGAGGTAGATAAAGGGACAAATTTTGCAGGATTCTCTGTCTTCCTAGGCTTTGGTTTAGAAACAACAATCTTCCTATGGGGAGGGCATGCTTCAAAGTTTGATTTCAATCTTGGAACCATTAAAAGATAGTCAGTTCTATAAGGGCATGTCTCAGTGTTTCCATGACCAGAAGCACTTGCTGACACTGAGTTTGAGAAACCAACATACCCTGAATTTTCATTTGCCGAACGCTTATCCCAAACACCAATAGAAGCAACTCTATATAGATAATCATCTGAAAGCACTCTTTGCCGTTTCTGTCCCTGTTCCTTAACAGGTTGCTGAGATGGAAGTTCATCAAGACCCATAAGTCTTGCCAAGACACTTGGTGTACCATGTTTAGCTTCCATTTTTGTTGACATCTCTTCATCTAATTTATTTTTCCCTCCCTAAATTCATGAACTTTCTAAAAGGCACAAGAACGCATCTGCATCAAATGAATAAAATGAGCTCAATAACATCAAAAAGAGGGGAAAAAAAAAAAAGAAAAAAGAAAAAATCACACTAATACTGCAATAAATGAAGAATTTAGTTTTTGCCAGTGAAAAACAGAAAGGAAGAGATTAAAGCAGCAAAGGAACTAAAGAATCAAGACCATCATGGCTCTAAGGAGCATCCTATAAAGCCAAAATCTCCATGGACTACAACAAAGTATAGTTATGAACAATCAAACGCAGAAACCGAATTATTAAGACAACTTCTTTTTGTAAGCAATCATTCGAACAACATAAAAACCAAACAAGTGTAAAGTGAAATAAATAAGTGGAACACCCCACCACCATTAAAATGGATCAATTACCAAAGAACAAGAATGATAATCCACAAATTAATTAGAGGGAAAAAAAAAAAAAAACCCCTAAAATCATTATGATGCCAAGAAAGGAAACATCATGACTGAATTGGAACTGGAAACAAAAAAACCTACTTGACCAAAACACAAGCAAACATCAAAAACCACACATCCAATCATGGAACATAACAACCTCAAACCGATAAATTGGTTTTGAGGAAAAAGAACTGACCTTTCTTCTCTGAATAAAAAAGTTCTGGACTTGACTCTGTATCTTCACAGCATGCAACGCAATCAATAAAGAAATCGATTGATCTTTATCTTGTCTTTCTTCTAAACCAAAACCAATAAAAAAGGACAAGCCGAGAAGCTCAATCACTTGATTTTGAACCAAATTTGAGACGGAAAAATGGGAAAGAGGATAGAAAAGGAAGTGAATCTGTAATCTGGATATGGGTTTCTGGTCCTAAATCAAAGGTGGGAATAAAGAATTAGAGTTTTATAAACACAAGAAACGGAAAATGGAGGGTTCCTCGTGGAAGGAAAGAACAGTGGAGAGAGGGAGGGGTGGTGCTTGCGTCATCGATCGCATTTGCCGTCTTCGCGGAACACCGATTGTCGTGTTCGCGCCACAAAAGACACGATTTTCTTTTTATAATTTTTTTAATTAATTTTTTGATATTCAATAATTATCATTAATTTTTTTATTAATTTAAAATTAAAATACATTGTATTACATTAAATTTTAATTAATTTAA